GGGGATTACAGTACACTTTTTATAAAATACCAAAGGAAGTATTGAAATTGTCTCTGCTAAAATAGACTTTAAACCAGTTGATAGTGTGTTAGTACAGTCAAATTCCTCACTTTTGGGTCATATTTAATGACAGGAAGCATCAGTGCCATTGAATTAAGTCCTGCCACCAATGAAAAGTAACCATATAAGCAAGTTTTTTTTTTTCTTTTTTCTTTTAAAATTGTGAATCACCCTCTTTTTATGAAAGTTAGGAAAAAAGTCACTTGGCTCTACAGTGAAGCAATGTATAAACGGACCTCTAAATTACATGTACAAAGAAGACACAGACAATAAAGCTTTGCCGTAATTTGCGATAAAAGTTATCCAAGACTAGGTTTCCTTAAAAACAAAGAAAGGGGCGCGAACCTAGTTTCATCTTACCATTACCAAGTTACTACCAAACAGAAGTCCCCCCCCCCTCCCCCAACTCACACACTCACCCTGGAATTGACGTGAAAGCGAAACGTTTTAAGCAGTTCACACAAAAACGGTTTGGCAGGACATATTTTCAGTAGTATTATGCTTTGCGGGCAAAACATTTTTAAACTACAGATTAGGGGCACGATTTCAATTCGCTTCTATGTATCTGAGTAGCACCCACTTGACGTATAAGTCCTGATTTTGAATGGCGTCAAGTGACTCAATCTGACTATCTTTAAGTAATTATACAGTATGTTATTGTTAAGTGTGTTTTTTAAAACCTACAATGACCTTATGAATGCATAAAATATTTTGGATATGTGAAAGTTATCGTTCCTGCAACATAGTTATATGGGGTTATCGCCCCTTTCAACTCGACAAGGAGGCAAGGGTCTCCCGAGCGTTACGTCCAAGTCCGAAAAGACCAAGCAAAGAAGGCGGGGAGTCGTTAAAGTTCATCAAACAATACACGTTAGAGAATTAATGTCCCAGGGGATTTTCGAACTAAAGTCATCGTACCATTGACCACCATGATACCCACTGAGTTAACAGTGAGACCTTACATGCAACAAACTAATATTTTGATTAGAACCTAATAGGAACAATAATTTAGCTACTAGAAACTAGCTGAGTTTTGAGTTGTACTCTAAGGTCAATGAGACTTAAAAACAAACCAACGGACCACAACAAAAATCCCCCCCCCCCACACACACACAAAAGAAAGAAAAAACAAAAAATTATAACAACATAAAACAAACAACGAACCGGGTCATGTTGTGTGTAGGTGAAATACA